AAGAAAATCTGAATTTCTTAATCCAGGAAGAACCTAATAAATGTTGATGTAGCAAATAACGAGAAAACCTCTCAACTAAACTGGATGAGGTATAATTTTGTAAGGTAAAATATAGAAGGTAATTAAATCAAGTTTTTATTTCTTTTGATAGGTACAAGGTCACAAGTATGGAGCACTCAGTGAAGACCGAACTTATAGAACAATCTCAGTAGCGCGCAAATTGCAAATTCTTGCTTCACGTAAAGGCGTCTGTTTATGCAAGGAATTGTACTTCTACTACAACTACTACTGCTATTATTAAGAGATGTAAAGGGAAAAGAAAAAAAGGAAAAGAAGAAGAAAAAGAAAAGAAGATGAAAAGGAAAAGAAGGAAAAAGACAAAGAAGAAGTAAAGGAAAAGGGGATGAAAAGAAGAAGGAAAAGAAGAATATTTTTTGAAAGAAAAAAAGGGAAGAAAAATATGAAAGATAAAAAGAAAATTACCAAGAAACAGACAATTTCTGATTGTGTCGGCCATTAATCTCACAAACAAATCTTTTCAAAATGAAAACTAATTTTATAAACAAAATGCAAACATGATTGTTTTGTGCTTTGTTTTATGGTGTAAAGGGTGGAAAAATATCAAAGCCGATTCTATTTTTCTTTTTGGTAGGAGTGGGAAGAAAAAAAAATCCGTTGTGACTCCAAAATATTATTTTCGTTCGATTTTCGCCGCAGTTTCATCTTTATCATGAATAGAATCAGGATTATGGATTTCGATAATATCACTCAGCCTCCGAAAGCAAGAATGTTAACTAGGAAGTCGATAAAAAAAATTAAAACGTAAAAGCACTAAGTTACCCCTGAATCAGAATGAGGGATAAAATATTCTATAAAGGGCATATTTTACCTGAGAATTTTTTCTGATCTTTCTTCATAGTCATCATGATATTCTTTTTTAGTGTTGATTTCCCGCCATTTTCTCATCCCTACTGAAAACTATATGACATTTACATTGTATTTGGTATCATATGTAAACTGGAAAATAACTTAAAGATTACGGTTGCAGAGATCTTGTGCAGCCACTATTTGTTTGGTATCTCTCTAATTCACTACTTGTCTATGACACAAATAATGATATCTTAAGTCTTAATACGAATGTAGTAAAGGCAATTTTTGTAGACATTGTTTCTTTTCGGTTGGTAATTTTTATGGTCCGATTCCTTGTACCACGGTGATAGTCCAAGGTAGAACCAACAAAGAAGAACTCAAACACAGGTATGGAATAACACAGATATATTACAAACAGGAATATATACAGAGAAGTAGAAGTGTTAGTATGAACAATCAGTTTTAGTAGAGAGAACAATGTAGTCTCGACCAGTATCACTATTCCAATGTCTTGCAGTAATTGTCTGAACGCGACTCTGTTTCGGACTGCCTCTGACTCGACTCTTGACTCGACTTGAACTACTGACTCGACTACTGACGATATTCAGTCACCCCTCCCCCCACGAGGGCATCATGTGGCACAAGGCCGGTTTAACGTGGGATCTCCAAGTCCGTGGGCTCGGCCCCAAAATATGCCCATTGAACCCGTATAAACTGTCGGTTCAGAAGTGAACGACAGACGATATTTAGTCAACCCACCCCACAACTGGGGAGCATGTGACACAAGGTCGGTTATTTATTGTGGGTTCTCCGAGTCCGTGGGCTCGGCCCCAAAATATGCCCATTGAACCCGTATAAACGGGCTCAGGGCCGGTTTAACTCCCCGAACGAGACTCCGCCCCTCGGCGTAGCCTCGTTCGGGTTCCTTCCCGACAGAAGGCAGAGATTTTAACCGAACTGTCGGTTCAGAAGTGAACGACAGACGATATTTAGTCACCACCCCCCTGGGGCATCATGTGACACAAGGTCGGTTATTTATTGTGGGTTCTCCGAGCCCGTGGGCTCGGCCCCAAAATATGCCCATTGAACCCCTATAAACGGGCTCATGGCCGGTTTACCTCCCCGAACGAGACTCCGCCCCTCGGCGTAGCCTCGTTCGGGTTCATCCCCGCTCGAAGGCAGAGAGTTCAACCGAACAGTCGGTTCAAAAGTGAACGACAGACTCCTTGCCTACTCCTGAGGCGCAGTATTTATTAAGTATGGAATAGTCCATTATTATTATTATGAGTAAGATCCCATAACAGTAATGTCAGATTTTGCTAACAGACAGCCATGAATGACCCCGAGGTTAATCTCACATAAGCTATGACAGTACTAGTGATCTTTCGGTTAGCCGTGTACGCAACTGACACTCGTAAACCTTTCGTTTGGCTGAAATGTTTTAAAACACACACAAACACACACAGAATCATGTGAGCATACACACACAAACGCACACACACAGAATCATGTGAGCATACAACACAAATTTCAGAATTTTAAAAATGTTTAAAAATTCATGTTTATTCTTGAAAACGTTTGTCAGAATCGGGCAACGTCCTTAACGACCGCTTCAAAAATCTTTTACACAGTTTTTGAGGGAAGACATTTATATTGCGATATTGTTCTACGGGCGCTACACGTTCTTCATCTACACCTCTTCTGTGAGGCCTGGGCTTGTCATTAATAGAGCTTGTTTCTTGACTAAAGTTTTACAGTCTCCTAGAGTGGATATAATCACCACACAACCCCGAGTAAAGACGAGTGAACGCACAATATTATTTATTAAGGCTCTATCTCTCGACATCGAACACTATGATTACCGAAGGCTGTTTGCCGTAAGAACGCCATCTTTCACGAAGTAGACAACAGGGAACTTTTTCGGAGACCAATATGAAAATATAAATTCAGTAATTCTTAAATAAATTACTATGATTATATTTATACACGAAACTGAGCAGATATGAACCTTTTGAGAAAATAACCCGAGTGAAGAGGATGTACTTTCCTTAAAAAAAGGGAAAATAAAACCCTCCTTTCTGCGACGTTCGCCGTGGTCGAACTGTAAAGACCAACGGTTCAAAAGGTTGTTCCACCTATAAAGGTTCGATCCCTGTCGGAGAACAGATTTTATACGAAGATTTCCCGAATACATAGACCTAAAGACGTAAAGCACACTGTTGAATAAATAAAAATGGGCCGCCTCTTTCAAATATTAACTATCCATTATGATCGCGTTTGAAGTAACATATGTGTTAAGGTGTTTGTGTGCGTGCGCCTACCATGTGAGTGAACTACTTGTGATGAAGCTAGGGTTCGACCTAAAGTCAAAGCTGTGGATGAATCCTATGGTGACATCAACGTCCTTCTAGGTCAGGTGCGGGGTGTGGGGAAATATCTTGTTGTTGCTGGGAGTGTTGGATACCTTAGCTTTCGTGGACAGCGAGGAAAAGGAAAACTTTGAAGAAACATCTGCGGCTTGGAAGTATCCACTGATGTTGACAGGTTTTTCTATTAGAGTATATGCTGTTCTTGTTAAAAGAGTGGGATTAAACCAATGCAATGTTTTTTTCCTACTTAACAATTTCATGCGCAGCCATTGTAACAGAAACAGAAGGATCTATCTATCTATCTATCTATCTATCTATCTATCTATCTATCTATCTTTATTTTTCTTTCTTTCTCATTTCTTTCTTTTTCATTCTGTTCATCTATCTATCTATCTATCTATCTATCTATCTATGTTGTCGTAAACTCATCTTATATATTTACTTTTTTGTCAGAGTACAATCTCCCAAAGGGCATTTAAATTGATATACAATGTTGGTCTTTTGAAAAACATTAGTTGACGGAGAAGAGTTGTTATGAATTTTTAAGTTGGTTGTATTAAATTTAGTATAGTATATACTTAATTTCATTTTTTACTGGATCGGTGTGGAATATATGAGTACTTTTACGACAACAACATTATCGAGGAGGCTTACACTACATATGTCAGATTCAAGTTCGATAGCACAAAATTTAAAGGATCATTCCCGTTCACATTTATGATTTAGAGAAATATTAATTGAGAATACAAGTATACTCCATTATGAAAATAAAAATCAAAAACTTCAAATTATTGAGTCCCTCTACGTAAGAAAAATTAAATCAACACTAAAGAAGGTTAGTTATGAGTATTGCAACAATGTTTTAAAACATCTAATAGTAATGTCGTTAAAATCCTTAAATTGAAATTTTTAAAAAATTACAATATATATAATAACAACGTTTTTAAAATACTTAAAATGTATTTTTAAAAAATTACAGTTATATGAATTAAAGTTACCTCCTTTAGATAAAACATTAAAAAGCATGATATCTTTAACAGCTAAATTTTAAATTAATTATAACGGTGCGCGTTCAGACGTGTTTATTATTATAACAAAGCGCGTTTCATGCGCATTTACAAAAAAAATCCCAGATATCAATTACATTAATTTTTTGTCTTAGCAATTCACCGATGAAAATGATCTTGGATGAGAAAAAACAAAAACAAAACAAAAAAAAAACTACGTCACCTTCCTTAATGAATTTCATAACAACATTAAGAAGTTGATACGAGAAGTCGAGAGGATTAAATTAAAAACAAATAGACATAATATGTCCAGATTATTCAACCAAACATATTTGAATGTATATGCGTGTAGAAACCCGGCAAGATTAAAAACAACACCTGTCAAAGAATGGATGAATCCTATGGTGAGATCAACGACCGACTAGGTCAGGTGCGGAAATATCATGTTGGTGCACAGACTTACTGGGAGTGTTGGAAACATTAGGTTTCGTGGACAGCGAGGAAAAGGAAAACGTTGATGAAACACCTGCGGCTTGGTAGCATCCACTGATGTTGACAGGTTTTTCTATTAGAGTACATGTTGTTCTTGTTCAAAGAGTGAGATTAAACCAATACAACGCCTTTTTCCATTTAACTATTTCATGCACAGTCATTCTTACATGTAAGAGAAACGGAAGGCTTTATCTATCTATCTATCTATCTATCTATCTATCTATCTATCTATCTATCTTAATATGTTCATATCTATCTTAAT